CCCAAGATAAAGAGGAAACGCGAATTGAAGACATAATGGACGAACTAGAAAAAGAAATCGAAGCAAAGAAATACGTAGAGTCAAGACTACGCAGTTTTCCCAAGCATGACTACCAGGGAAAAAAGGACAGGTCCTTCAAAGAACAAAGCGACAAGGACAAAAAGATCTGCGTGTTTTGCAAAAATACAAACCACGCATCAAGTGCCTGCAGAACCATAGCAGACATTAATGAAAGGCGAGAAATCTTGAAAAAAGAGCAACGCTGCTGGAAGTGCTTTGCTGACAGCCACAAAAGTAGCGAGTGTTCCAAGGCAAACTGCTCACGTTGCAAACGGATGCATGATAATAGTGTATGCTTTCCCACCGATTCAGCGCAACGAGGAAACGGTTTTAACAATCAGAATAAAGAAAAACCTCCTCACCAGCCTACACACATCAATAATCAGGAACAGAAAGGTCCGTACTTTAATAGAGCATGGAATGGTGGCCCATCCAATGACGCTCGAAATAACAGACCTTGGCAAAATAGAGCAACAGCCAGTAATGCCTGTGTCGATGTCACCATTACTAGCAATGACTTGTTGCCAACGCGTACGCAAAGAATGGATTTCTCTTTTGAAGAACTCGGCCGGCTGCGACTCAAAGTAGTTGGACACCCAGAGTTGGACTTCTTCGCGGTTTGTGAACTTTCTCTCGGAGGGAGTGCTGCATCGACCGGAACAGATGGTAATCGGATGGTGCCAGGTCCCGCTGCCCCAGTGAGCCGAGTGGGTCATTAGGTCCACCCAAGTGCGTCGTTAGGACTTGCTTGAAGTCTTACCACATACAAGCTCGCATTCGAAATTTTTGGTCGAGCATTTTCTAAACTTTTTTCTCTAAAAAACAAGGTAGACATAGAAAAAATATATCAAAAGATGCGCAATAAAAACCTCTCTCTAATGGACAAAACTGTTTTGAAAAATCTCCTATAGTAGAAGAGAAATAAATAGACAAAGTCAACGCGCATTCCTTTCCGAACAACCTAATACATATTTAAACCATAAAAACACAGAGATAGCAAAGGAAATCATGGACCATTTATATGTAGATAATATTCTACTCCGAGCAAATACCGTAGAAGAGGCTCTCCGGAAATACAAAGAGTCGAAAGCAATATTTGCGGAGATTGGCATGAACTTGCGTGAGTACATATCAAACTCGAGCGAAGTCAATGCTGCCATCCCAGAAAACGATCGTCTACATGGGAAAGTCATAAAACTCTTGGGAGTGGACTACAACACAGAAACAGACGAGTTTCAAGTGAGCACTCGAATAACGCAAAAAGATCGGCTAACGAAACGAGATATTGTTAGCCAACTAAACTCAACCTATGATCCTATCGGTTTAATGGGACCGTTGCTCATAAAAATGAAATCATTAATGCGGGAAATCTACGACACCGCCATAGAATGGAATGATCCCATACCCTACGAACTATGTCGTAGATGGAACAACGCATGTCAAGAAG